TACTCATCACTTCAAAATTACAAAAATCATTTTAAACTTTTGATTAATGACAGTTGACCATATAATGTGTTGACCGTATAATGATTAGATGTTATTATTGTTGTTACATTTAATTTTTTTTTTAAAAATAAAAAATATATTTGAAATTTCTAAATAAATAATAAATAATTCACAAATAAAAGACGTACCAAAATATACATTACATCTAATCAGATAAACGCAATTTAAAAAAAAATATATTCCAACTCTTTTAATTGTAAATTTGGTCTGCAAAAAAGTGAAAGAAAAATAATTAATCATTATATGTACAGACTCACAATAATTTATTTGTATCTGTGCAAATGCACAGGTCGAATACTAGTTATATTGAAATATCATATATTATAAAACAACACAAATAAAATGTTACATTTTATATAATTGTTTTAAGTATTTTTGTCAAAAAAAAATGTGAGATTTATCGTGTTTCCTTGGTTTTTCTTAATGGTTCTCTTAACAAGGTAACATTTTCATTCACTATCAACCAACTCTGCAATACAATTATTATATTTCAACATTTTTAACATATTAATTTTGTAGAAAAAAATTAATAAATATTAAACGCAACCAACACTAAAATATTAATTAAAATTTTATTCCTCTTAGAATTACTATCTTTGCCGATAATTCCAACATAATATTTTATGGTAGTGCAAAAACACATAATGACTCATTTATTAGTGAATTAGGTAAAGAAAGGTTGTTTTCCTAAGAGCCTTGTTTCTGATAAATAACATTATCTTTAGTGTGGCAATTCCTAATTTTCAATGTATAGAAACTCGACAATATTATATAAGATGGGGCCATGACATAATAATGTACTAATAGCTATGTTTAATATTTTTATGTCTAGATTAAAGAGACACTATTAATTAGGTAATTGTAGCTTTACGTATAAGAATTACACTACACACTTTTTCTTCTTCTTCTTCAATAGTTTAATTCATGCACCAAGGTTGAGATATGAATTTAAATTATTAACTCGGGGATACATGGCGCATACAAAATAATTATAGCTTAATTCAGAAGATATACAATTAAATACTAATAATTAATTAAGTGTGTTAAGCTCTACACAACTACCCCATTAATGTCCATTCCTTCAATCTCTTTGGGAACTTGGGCCTCATCAAGTTAAAGCTCCACTTTCACGATCCTTTCTTGCAAGCAATGATGGTTTGTACCTTATGCTTATTTTATTGCACATACAAGTCCTTAGAGCATCTACAATAATTTTGGTTTAAAAAAATGTCATAGAAAATTGGCTTAAGTGCAAGTGAAAGTGAACTATATAAGATGGTGTGACAATAAGAAAACAAAGTTCGATTTTACCATTGAATTTATATATTTGAGACAAAAGAAGAGACTCGATTTCTTTGCATTGGACTGATTTTGGTTACATTTTATACATGTCAGCTAAGATTTTGATCTAATTTATATGATACTTAAGTGTCATATAAATAATAATAATATAAAAACTCAAATGATACTATTTTTTTTTTTTTTTNATGATAATAATAATAATAATATAAAAACTCAAAGAAGAGTGCAATCGGGACAAGGTGGCCCGTGGCCCAATTAACCTCCTTATATAATGGGTAAGAACTAAGAAGTCAGCCAAGATATAAGCCAAACAATTAAAAAAACTCCCATAGAGACATAGAAGAGAGATTAGCTGCTCTTATATATAGAGACTAAACAACTCCATAAAAGATAATTATCATCAAAATAAACAACAAAAGTTACAAAACACTAAAAATACTAAAAGCAACTACTAAAATATTGTCGTGGGAGAAAAAAAAACATTGGAGAGAGAGTTTGGTAATTTGGTACTCCCTTCATTTTGAAATATAAGGCGTATAAAGATTTTTTTATTTTTTTTTAAATATAAGGCGCGCTCAAAAATCAAGACAAATTTTTGCATTTTTTTTCTAAATATACCCTCAGTGTGCTGAAATTAAGGAAGTGTGGAGTGGTTGTGATTAGAGTAAATAAGGTTAATTTAGTCAATTTATTTATTAATTAATGTCTCCTTAATATTTGTGCAATAACCTTAAATGCCTTATATTTCAAAATAGAGAGAATATATTGGATACTACTATTGTTAGTCAAACTATATTTACACACTTTAATACCCAAATGTCTATCATTTTGCAGCCGTTATGAACAATGAGTACTTTGAACAAGCTTTTGTAATTACAATTTTGTCTTTAATTAGTTAATCAATAATACTATTTCGGCATCTTGGACCTATCAAGAAAAAAACCACCTATTGTAATAATGGAAGAGTCTCATTACTAATATTGTCCTCACATGGTGAGTCTTCAAAGTTCAATCTGTAAAATTTACTATAAAGTGTTGATGAGCATGGGCCATGAAGACCCGAATAATTCGGATATTTGGCTTGGATTTACTCACATAATGACATCATGATCAACTAAAGAGGCTGATAAAATCACAAATTTAAGGCATAATTGTCATTAAACCTTTGCTCATCATGAATTGTAATTATGTTGATTGGGTAATTTTCTATGAAAAAAATAATGTCATTATATAGTGTCACGTGATGAAATTGATGTATGTATGTTTGCGTTTGAGGGTGTATTCAATTGAGATTTGAAGTGACATTTTGAGACTTTTTAAGATTTGAAATTTGTTAAGATTTCCAGATTTTGGAGAAATTCTGTGAAATCCTAAGTATGGAGGTGAGATTTTGAAGTAAGATTTCGTATAAGGTTTATTGTCTAGAAATCCCACAAAATTTTAAAAAGTCTTAACAAATCCTAGTGTAAAATAAATTTAATAACTCATAATTTTGTAAGACTTTTTAAAATCCCAATTGAATATCCCAGGATTTTTAAAAGTCTTAACAAATTTAAATTGAATACACCAGAATTTCTAAAGTCTTAAAAAATCCTTAGAAATTCTAATTGAATACATTTATTCACTCAACTTCGAATGTGGAGGAAATAGAAATTAATTAACTGTTACAAATGTGTCAATATTGTGCATATCTTTTTAGCATATATATGTGTGTATGTGTTTTTCATAGGAAAATGTCACATAATTATACAAATAATATGGAATACACGATATTTTATTATATAAACATGCATTTTTATTTAAAACGCATTAGAAATATATTCAAGTATTTAACTGTTACATCGTTTCATAGCAAATTTTGTGTTAACTTAATTCTGCTTTTTATTTAATAGTGCTTATGACATAGTGATACTTTTGAAATTGCACTATTTCGTAAATCATGTAACTAAAAAATTAATAACAAATATATAAATATTTTACAATACGCCCAACTACTGACAAGTGACATCTTGCATTGATCATATTGCTGAAGTTCCATAATATATATTTCGTGGACATATAATTTAAATTTGACTTCAATTATAATGATTTTATTATACATTATTCTCAGAACCAAATCTTCAATTTCACATTTAATCCTGTGAAGCAATCTATGTTTAACACAACTATTGTCAATATTTAATTCGCAAAAATCATAATTGTCAATATAAAAAATTAGCATCACTTACATTTGTCCACGGTTGATGACCAATTTAATTAAAACCTGTCTTTGTCTCTCGAAAACCTACATAAACCCTAATAAAATAACTATTTTGGGAAAAAAAATTTAAAAAGAATTGAAGTTTTTATTGGTAAGCGAGAACGTTGAATGGTCAGTGCCAAAATTGAGATATCAGTATCACACACATTCTTAAAACTGTTCTATGCTTTTATATCACGTGCCCTGCACCCTCAACAGTCATCACATAGCCATATAATTTCAAATTGGCATGTCCAATTTTATATTCAATTACAAGTGTCAGGTTACATAAATTATTTACTAGTTAACATAATTCAATAATCAGGTTACAAAAATTATTGACTAGTTAAATAATTCAATAATTTTTGAAATTGTTAAAATATCTTCCAATATGATACAACGAAGACCCAAAACGAGAATGTAATAAGTATAAACTGATCGAAAATTCTTGTATGAGTTTCTAACATTAAATATGTTGACTTGTCATACTTTTTGTTATATATAATTATGTTATGAAATGACATGTTTGTAGTTACATTATTTTTGAAATATAATATTTTTATTTAAAATAATTTATATTCAAGGCGGATCTAGAAAAATTTATTGGTGAAAGTTTATGCCATATAATTTCAAATAGGCATGTCCTATTTATATTCAATTATAAATTTCAGGTTACAAAATTTTTGATAAGTTAAATTATCACATAAAGTATTCATGTGATACTCTAGTCAATGCTATATGATTTTCTAAATGCAATTTTTTTTTTCATTTTTATGGATTTATCCTTAGTAAGTCAATAATTACATTTCCATGAAATCTTCTAATAATTAAAGTGAAGATTTTTACTCACCCAAAGATCTCATGTAGTTTCAGTAGCCCAAAATCCTTATTGAAAATTTTTACGGACTAATAGCATGTAAAAAANTCATTCAAGAATTTGAAGTCAAACAAGATCTTATGCTCAAATTTTTTACTCAAATCCTCACAAAATACCAGATAAATTGCAGAATCTCAATTATTATTTAAATTCTCTACTTTAAGGCCTATGTCCATGCCAGATTACATTGATGATCATCTTTGTTAGGATACTACTTTAGTTGATAATCGATGGCTGCGTGAGCATTTGATATGAGTCATATGACTAGCAAATTGTAATAACTATTTATAAACGAGTATTTGAAAAATAACAATTTGAACTTTTCTTTTTTAATGAAAATTAACGTCACGAACTAAAAATGCTAATTCATTAAGCTATTTACCAAATAAATCAACTATCAAATGTAATGGATCAAACCTCTAAATAAGGTTTCATTCTGTTATTGTATCACCAATTCGCTAATTGAGTCTCATATATAACTCAATTGAGTGTTGCTTAAAGAACATTTTAAAAGGAAAAAAAAAAAAATCAAGTCAGTGCAAAAATTGCAAACGCAACTCAATTTTTTTTTTGAATTCATGAACTTTGATGTGAGGGTGAATAATGTTATACAGTTGGGTCACGCATTTTGTCAAGCACATAGCGCTCGAGTAAATCAGGCCATATTGCAAGAGACATATATAATAAGCCACCAAAATCCAAAACTCATCATACAAAGGACTGAGTTGGAATTTTTTCATACAGCAAAAGCAGCTCACACACACTGAGCGTGGGCTTGTGGGGTTAGTCTATGCACTCATCATTAACTACACTCTCATGGATTTCAGCGTTTGTTTATTTATTTATTTTATTTTTTATTTTTAACTTTTTTCAAACTTCACCTTCTTGCCCGCGTTGTGCAGCAAGAATCTGTAACAATCTGTTGATTTATTTAAGGAATTTCACACGACCCATTTACCTTCAGCCATAATCTTGATTTGGGTTGAAAAAATTCTGTTAAAAAAATGTTGCCTTGGGTTGGAAATTCCTTAAAATCTTGATGCGGGTCCTAAAAGGTATATTTTGGGACTGCATTTTTTTCCTGTTTCATTAAAGTACATCTATGTAAGAAAAAGTAGAACAATAATGCTACCTGAGAGGTTTCAATTGATTCTTTGTTCTTCGTGTTTGAGATTTGTTTCAGAGAGGGAGAAAAAGGGTAGAATCCTAGGAAAAAGATTCATTTTTGTTTATTTGTTTTGTTGATGGTGTCGAAAAGAGGTTAAAAGATTCGATCTTTTTTCACGGGTTTTGTCTCTTTATTTTCTTTGTTATGTTCTTTTATAGCTCCCATTGAGGAATTTGGTGCTGAGCATGATAAAGGATGTGATAGAAGCTTGCAAGTTATGGAGAAAATGAAAAAGGTGTGCAAAAACGAGGCGAATAATAATGTTGAAGTGCCCAAGCAGAAGGAGAGGCATATAGTATCTTGGTCTCAAGAGGTGAGGTCTTCATAATACATAGATGATAGATCCTTGATTTTTTATTTTTATTTTTTTTAATATATGCAAATTTGGATTTACATCTTGCAATTGATCACCAATCTGAAGCGAATGTTCGTTTTGTTGTTCTTAGGAGGATGATATTCTGCGAGAGCAAATTAGATTACATGGGACTGAAAAGTAACAAACTTGATTCCTTTTAGCATATATTTTGTTTGTTGTGAAAAATATGATCATTGGTGTTGAATTAAAAACTTATGGGTGTAATTTTTGTGTGATAGTTGGACAATTATTGCATCAAAGTTTAAGGATAAAACAACAAGACAATGTCGAAGAAGGTTAGGGTGTTATATCAATTTGATGGCCTCAAGAATTCTTTCAAGTTTGTTTTTATTGTCTTTTGCAGCAAAGCTTTTTTAATCGAGTTTTTTTATTTTTTTATTTGAATATGATGGTACACACAGATGGTTCACATACTTGAATTCCGATTTCAAAAAAGGAGGATGGTCACCAGAAGAAGATATGCTCTTATGCGAGGTAAAATATTCAAATATGTTTCGACTCGAAATTTTTTTCTACCCATTTTTTTCATCTGTAAGAGCTAAAAACTATGATCTGTTTAGTTTAGTTCTCTTTTATTGATGTCACTGTTGCAATTATAACACGTCGACTATTATGTCACAAAAACTCAATCAATGATAAAATGCATACAGATTATTTTTCTAATTAAAAAATAGAAATTGCTGTTTGTTCATTGCAAATATGATGTGCTTGGTGAATCTTTATGCAGGCTCAGAAGATATTTGGAAACAGATGGACTGAGATTGCAAAGGTTGTTTCAGGCAGGTAACTCGAGAAAAAAAATAATAGATAAATTCAAACATTTATCCATTCGTATTTGTTGGCTTTATTTCGTGATGAAAATTCAAACATTTTGAGCTTCACGGGTGAACCGAACGGAGAAGGTTCTGGCCAATTTTCATGGTTGTTGGATGTGTGGGCTCCAAGCGGTTAGTTTGCTTGGGCCTGGCTGGTGGTCTAGAGGGNAATTACAATTTATAAATCTTACCTTTGATGTTTGGCCTAATAGCAAAACAGCTCCCCTTATCCTCCAAAATTACGAAACACACCTTGCGTAGTGTTGCAAATACTCTCAGTAGGCTTTTTGTAATTCTATCAGGGGTCTGTTTAAATATTTTGATATTATATTTATTTTCTAATAAATTGCTCCTATGTGTTAATATCTGAAAATCACAGCCTAGATGGATCGACTGGCGAGCATGGCTTCTCAAGTCATTTGCTCAGACATTCATTTCAAATGCTAACTCAAAAAGTCAAATGTTCTGCGGTTGACCTTCCAATCGAGCCGCAAATGGACAAAATGACAGAGGCATCGACTGATGAAAGTGAGTTCGAGTAACCCTTTTATACTTGTATGTCTCTTCAAATGAGCTATTGAAGTAAAGTGACATCAATATTTATTTATTTATTTTCATTTTCTTTTCTTTTTTTTAATGCAGCTGTAAATGACAAAGGCAAACGAACATTTCTTAAAAAAGATGACCCAAAGGTGCTTGCATTAATGCAGCAAGCAGAGCTTCTTAGCTCACTTGCCGTTAAAGTGAATACAGAGAAAACGGATCAGAGTCTTGAAAATGCCTGGACTGTAAGTAAATTATGAGAAGTATCCCCGATCTTTAGAATGATTACAGAAAAAGCCTAGAAGTTTTTAGAAATTACAAAAAGGGAACCATGTCTTTGGACTTTTGAACCACTATATAAATCGAAATAATTCAAACACCTCAGATTTATGGAAGTAGTGCAATTATCCTCTTCAATCTGCCACAGTGCCCATAAAACAGATTATTTTGAAGACTTATAATTCAAACACACATATTCTTTTCTTTCCTTTTCGTTTTCTCTCTAACAAACAAAAATGATTAGTATATTTTATAATAGTAACGAAATGATGAAAATTTGTCCAGGTTCTCCAAAATTTCTTGAAACAAAACAAAGAAAGTGATACACCGATAATGAGTAGTAATTCAGATGCCGATTTTCGGATAGAGAAGTTGAAAGAGTTGGTTGAAGAAGATTTAAGAAGCTCTAATGAAGGAAGTGTATCATCTTGGAGGTAAAATTTTACAAAGTACATTGGGTTTTTTATAATAGAAAAATTGTATTTAACTGGGAATTGGGAAAATTGTTGCAGGGATCGTGATGCATATGATTCTTCCCCAGCTAGCTCTGAACACAGTTCCGAATCAACTTTTCTGTGTAATGTGGAGTGTGATCATCAAGAAACCGAGCCTGAAAATGAACATAATTTTCTTGATGAAGAAAATGAGATATTTCGTTCAGCAAACCGAAATGAAGGTATGAAGTATAGGACAGTTTATGGATAGGAATAAATCCTTACAAGTACAGATATAACTTCTCGATGCTCGTTTATATTTTACAAAAATACTTTCAAATGTGTTATTTAAATTTTCAAGCATTGTAGGATTATTTTAATTTTCAACTCAAATGGGTTATTATTTTACAGAATTCAATTCCCCTGTTCGTGTGACACCTTTTTTCCGAGCATTGGCAGCCGCAATTCCCAGCCCGAAATTCTCAGAAAGCGTAAGTATTTTTTTTTTACGACTTTTATATTTGCCATGCTTTTTTTTTCTGGTCAGAAGAAAAAAAACCTTGAATAATATAAGATCACAAATTAAATCATCGATATGCATGCATGTTAACAAAAGGTTCTAACTTCTAACTGTATTTTTTCAAACACAAACTCGAATGCTTTTAGTTTCTTGCTTTGCACACTAAAAATTTAAATTTTAAATTGATAAATTTCACTCTCTCTTCAGGAAAAGCATTTTCTGATGAAGACTTTAGGAGTGGACTCGAATTCTCAGAGCCCTATACGAAATTCTTCCCAACAATCATCATCTTGCAAGAGGTCCCTTCTACATTGTCTGTGACGGGCCTTTTTCGAGTATAAATTTTTTTGCGGTCGATTTTTCGGAAGTTATAAAAGAGGAGAATGACGAATCTGCCCT